TGTGGCTTGAGATTGTGAGGTGATAGGGATTGTCTTTGGATTCGTTATTTGGCAAAGGAACAAGGTGACAAACATATACTATCTCTTCTTGCCCCCCGAGGAAGAATTACGCCTTCATGGTTCGGGTTACATTCAACCAGTTGCACTTCGTCGACCACACTTTGATACTTTTATTGACGATTGTGTCGTCTATACAACACTCGATTAGATTGCACGAGCCAGCTAGGTAATGATGTTCCTGTTACTGCCTTCCTGTTATGTCGAAACATTCGTTCATTAGTTGCTGTGGGCAACAAAGACCGCATAGAATGAAGGGCGTCTAAAAGAACCTGATCCCAGTGACGAATGTTCAGATTTTTAGACTTTAAGGTTAACATTATTGCTTGCCACAACGATCCGTTCAGGCGTTTCACTTGACCATTGGCCTGCGGACTGTAGACCGTAGTTCGGCTGGTTGCGACGCCCTTGGAGTGTATGAAGTGCTTGAGTTCTTGCGACATGAAAGAGGAGCCGCGGTCTGAATGGATGTAGTTCGGCATTCCAAAGATGGAGAAGAGTTGACGAAGCACTTGATTACTGTTGTGGGGGACATGTCCTGACAGGTGAATGCGAAAGGAAATCGTGAGTATTCGTCGATGGTCGTCAAGAGATATCTACTATATGTGCAGAATGGCAGGGGACCCTTGAAATCCATACTTGATCTTTCAAACGGTTGAGTTGCCTTGATTAATGGTTTGCAGAACCTGGGTTTAATCTCGGCGCATACTTGGCACTGGGAAATTACGCGTCGAACTTCATCCACGGAATACGGTAAGTTCCGAGAACGGACGATGTGATACATACGAGTTAGCCCCGGATGACAGAGCGCCTTGTGTAACTCCTTTAGTACGTTGTGATCTATAGTGGCTGTGCAACAACCGCGTGAAAACGCGTCGGCCGCTAAATTGTCACGTCCTGGTCCGTAGATGACATCGTACCGGAAGCATGATAGTTTAACTCTCCAGCGCTGAATTTTTTCGTTTTTTTATCTTGCCCTTTGGCTCATTATTGAACATGAATACAACTGATCGTTGATCAGTGGTTAGCTTGAAATAGTTTCCCAGTAGATAGTGTCTCCATTTTCTCAATGCTTCCACTATGGCGTAAGCTTCTTTTTCGACCGCGGAATGATGCCTTTCGGTTAATGTTAGTGTTCTAGAGAAAAACGCCTCGGGTCTACCACTTTGGTTGAGGGTGGCAGCGATGGCAACATCTGCGGCATCTGTCTCGACAACAGGAGGCGTTCCGAGCTCCACAGTGACAAACATCGCGCTTTGAAGTTCTTGTTTTAACTTTTCAAAGCATTGTGTAACCGGTTCAGAGAGTGGGAATGATCGGTTTTGGATCAGCGGGTTGGTTTTGTCTGATAAGTGTGATATCCATTGTGAGTAATATGCAAACATTCCCAATGCGCGCTCTTGTTCTTTCACATTTCGAGGTGGCGGCAGATTCCTTAAGGGTTTGAGTCTTTTAGGATCAGGTCTAACAGCTCCGTTTGAAACTTCAAAACCTAAAATGTGTATTTGTCTTACAGATGTGATACTCTTAGCTTCGTTAAACGCTAGACCATATCTCTTGGCCACATCCAAAAATCTCTGTGGATTTCGATTGTGTTCTGTCACATCCATACCGCAGATTATTACGTTGTCCACTTAGGCGAAAGTACCGGATAGTTGTTCCTTGTTGATTATGTTATCCAGAGTTCGCTGAAAACATGTTACGCCATTGTTCACTCCGAATGGGATGCGGCGGAACTGATATAGCTTTCCATAAGCCTCAAAGGTGGCGTATTTCTTTTCTTCTGTTTGGATGGGTATTTGGTGGTCAGCACTTTTCAAGTCCAGGGTACTGAGTACATCAAAACGCGCAATCTGTTCAATGAAGTGGTCCATGCGGGGAAACTGATACGCATCGATGTACGTGAATCGATTTATGGTTTGACTGTAATCCACGACCATATGTTTCTCATATCTTTCATTAAAGGTTACTAAAACCTGGGCCTGTCAAGGAAACCTCGACGGTTCGATGGTTCCTGTAGTAATTTCCGGACTTCGGGTTGTATGAATAGTTCGTCTGGTGTTGAATGGCGGGACATTTTGGTCGTAGGTGTCTATCAAATCCACAAAAGTAGCAATGAGAGATACCAACAGCCGTTACCGGTTCTGTCGCGGCCTCTCGGTTGCATGTTTCTACTGCCGGCTGTACTGCATTGGTAGACACGGAGCAGGAGAGATTGTTAGTCGTTTTGGTACGATACAGCCCGTTTCTGTGCTGTATCCAATTGTCTGGCTAAATCGATGGCCTTTTGGAGGTGGAGAGTTTGTTCCTCGAGCAGCCTCTGGCGAATGTGACTAGATTGTATGCCACGAATGAAGGCATTTCTAACTAGTTCATCGCGATATTCTTCTGTCGAAACCGGCTTGCATCCACAGTCCTTAACGAAGTCCATCAGTAGTTCTAGAGTCTGATCCAGAGACTACCCATTTTGTTGAACTGTAGTAGACAAAACGTGTCGCGCTTTTCAGAATTTGGATAGCGTCATCGAAAGTCTTGCAGTCTCTGATGTATTTGTAGACCGAGGGGGTAATATAGTTTATGAGTGTATTCAATTTATCGGGATTGAGTGATTCATTGATGGAGAGGAATGTTGTAAAGGTTTGGTACCAATGAGTCCAGTGGTCCCCTGCATCAGAAGAGTGAGGATCAATGTCGAATCACTCAGGTCGGAGGTATTTGTCCATTTTATAAATTCAGTTGATTGAATTGTAGTAGATCATCAATCAACGAGATGCTCTGAGCACAACAGAAGAGGTAGGCCGTATCGTAGGCTTTAATGAACTGATTGATGGAGGATATTGCTACAATAGGAAAGATGGTGGATATGAGTGCACATAATACACAACGACTAATACGGGAATTGTAAAATAAAGGAGAGTTCTGATACATGACAGGTATTGAATGAGCAGCTAGAGAAACGCGGTTTGATTTGGAGTACGCCAATGTCATCGTTTCTCTGTTCGAATGTATACAGGAGATATAAAGCGCACTTCGTAGACTAAGTAGTGCAGTTGCCACATTCGGTGTGCTTTTTACCTTCAAAGTGCAAAATGATGATGCAGGGCTGGATTCCCTCTACTCCCGCTCTGAAACTAAATGGTCATGATTTAGTTGTGGTGAATTATTTTTCCTACTTAGGTAGTTGCATTACCAATGACGGTAACGCAGTAAAAGAGATAACCGCCCGCATTTCCGAGGCTCGAGCAGCATACGCAGGACCGAAACACCTTTGGCGTAGGCGCCACGTTTCATTGAAATTAAAGGTCGTGTATATTGTGCTAGCGTTCGTTCAGTCCTGCTTTATGGTTGTGAGACCTTGAATTTGCGAATAGAATATATCCATCGACTAGAAGTTTTCGATCATTGGTGTTTACGCAGTTTAGCCCACGTTGGATGGAGCGAACGGGTTAGTAACGTGGAGGTAAGCCGTCGTGTGTTTGCGAGTCTATCAGGTATAAACCTGCTAGCACACCGAATTCAGATTAGTAGACTTCTCTGGCTACGGCACGCATTGCGTGTGCCCAGCCATCGTCTGCCGCACGGCGCTTTATTCGCTGTAGCGAATCCGGGATGGAGAAAACCACGTAGAGGTCAACAGATTACGTGGAGACAAGTCATGAAAAAATGCACAGAGCCATTAGTTAGAGTAGGTGTCTCGCGTCTTCCAGGTTGGGGTCCGAAAGGCTCCACAACTTGTTGGTTGGAGACATTGAAGGATATGGCAGTGAATCGGCAGAAGTGGCGTTCTTGTCGTTTTTTATCAGGTCAGAATACTTGAAAAGTATGTATGCAAAGTTCGATTGCGTACTCTGCGTTGACCATAGTAGTTCACCTTCTCCCTCCCACAAAATAGATCCAATCCCTGTCCACCTTAAATTTTTCCACTAACTTTATATGCATTGCAAGTTTGACAGAGACCAGTGAAGTTCGCTTCACTGTATTTCGCTGTACGATGTTGATGATGTCAGCGCAAAGTTGCAACCCTTTATCACTCAAATTCTCCATTTCCTGTTCGAGTCTACTTTCAATCTTCTTGTCGTTCTCCTATTCTTCATCCAAATGGGCAGTCAAAAGACAGCAACCAAAACCGCGGCAAAAAGGTGCATGGTTAATGGTTGTATAAAGTGAACTGAACTTAGTCGGTCTCCGTTTTCCTTCGGGTGGGTTAGGTTTGCATGTTTGTCGCCTAGGCATTTTCCTATTCCGTCCAGGGATTCCACTTAAGCATTGAAGTCACCATTAGCTACTACGATGTCCGTTGTGTGAGCACTTTGACGCAGTTTGGGAAAGTTCATTTTCGCATCCATCTTGGCCATCACGCAGTGCATATACGGACACGACGAACGGGCACGCGCACTTCGTTCTTTTACTGCTAACCCACAGTGAACCGTGGAGACATACAGTTCACAGTTCGTTGCCAACAGGAATCCAGTTAAAAAGCGAACGATTTACCTTGGCATTTAGCGCTTTCCCGACGCCGGCATCACCATGAGTGTGAGATGCCGGATAGCCCGACACGGAGAGTGAGACGTGGTTTTGAGGTTGATTCATTGAGATGTAGTGTCATAAAGATGGTCTTTTGTTCGTGCCGCGGCGACACAACGTACATCTAAATGGAAAGTTTCGAGGGTTAGAGCTAAGGCAGCTTGTTGGCTGATCTGAGTTTACAGACACTAAATGCCGCTAAGTGAGGTAGAGATTTTGAGTTCATCAATCCAATAGCTTCTGACCGTTCTGCCTTATTGGTTACAATGATATTCCAATAACAGCATTCGATTACTCCTCCCGGTCCGCTAGGCACTTGTTTTTCCTCAACTTATTTATTTCGTCATTTCCCCCGCTGTTTTCGAAAAGGAAGCAATTAAGGGTCAATTACAACAACACATTCCATTTCTGTATTTCAGATGTCGTTGATTGAACAGCTGCGAAGATTAGCAACACCAGTTGCTGCTAGCTATGCCCCAGACTCCGTCCGTCGAAAATCTTTGATCTACGAAGATCCATCGAAAGTAGATACACTACTATGCTATCAAGAAAGTGAGTTCCAAATTTGTTACTCACTTTAATTGCAAATCTTTTCAGGTCTTGCTGCGTTTGAGCGAATGTGCAAACTGGACGAAATATTTATTGGATTCCGACAGACTATTTTTGCCGAGACTTCTTGTCACCTAGAAATATGCAATTTGTTTGTTGACGAGAAATTCAAATTAGACAATGAGATTCGACGATTTTTGTGCTATACTTCACCGTTTTTGAAGCACTACGATGCGATTCGTATGCTAGAATGGCTTGTGCATAAGTAAGTCAGTTGAGTTTAGCTACGTACATGCATATGCATAGGTTTCAAGTTCATACTCACTTCGTAGAAGACCTTATTCGCTGTGTGATACCCTACCACGAAACCGGACTGTTCGCAAAGTTCCTTCAACTTTTGGATTTTTCCTCCGTGAATACCGAATTTCGCTGGTTAGAGCCATATGCTGTAAGTGTCCACTGTACTCGAGTCAGTCCTTGACAAACACTTGTGTCGAATGCTGCTTTTTGCATGCGTTGTTTTTCGTAGGGATTATGACCTATGATTGGCAGTGCTTTGCGATCAATCAGAAACTAAAACTGGCCCAAGTAGTGGTTGACTCTTGCGTGCACACTAACGTGGTGAATATTATGCATATCTACTGATGGGCTCTATCGGCTTTTTTCCTTTTTATATTTTACACTTTCGTACGAGCAATTTCGACGAAAATACGGAAGGAACACTGAACAAGCCGCCATGTAGTACAATAGAAGGGGTCAAGTTGGGTAGCGGTAGTGGTGGTGCAGTTTAAACAGTATATGGAGCGATGTGATGGCGACTGACACCGTATAACCGGATAGCTTTTGCCAACCTTCGTCATTTGTGGCGTAGAAGTGATTCTCGTCCATAGTTGGAAGGCATAGTTTACGGTGCCCCTGTACTGCTGCGAAAGTTGAGGACTAAAACAAATCAACAATATATGACCATTGATGGCCCCTTGAATCGCCAGAATACGTTGGCTACGGCGAGTTACCAACGATGAGATTCAGACATTCTGAGCTGATCTCTGAGTGCTGTCAAATGTTCCAAAGTTTTCTACCGTTTTTTGTGACCCGTACGGAACTGATGACCCAGGCAGTTGAACCTACAAATGATCACTCATAAAACACGATCCCAACCGATTCCGGTCAACGAGTCACCTAGTGGAGAAGAGGAAAGAGGAAAGAAGAGAAAAAAAAATCGTTAAGTGAGGTTGTGTATTTATTCTAATCTCCATCAGCTTTAAGCCTACCAACTTGGTTTTTATATTAGGTTTATCAGCGATTGCTCATGTTCCCTTTGCTATATTTCGCTGTGCCACTGCAATTCATGCACATCGGGCTCACGGCGCAGCGGCGTTGACACGAATGCGTAACAGGATGCTCCGAGCTAATATTCTTGTCGACGCAAGGCGATACAAAGCGACGGACAATGTAACGGCGAGTGAACGGCGCAACAGACGATGAGGGCATGGAATTACGATTACGTATTGACCAACAGATCCTCCGTAAGTCAGAGTTGACGACAGTTCTTCAAGGCAAAGGAAATAACGCCATGAAGTGGAAACGCTCAGGGAGATGCAAACACCACGTTTTTCAGTGTCTTCTGAATGACGATGTTTATGGAAATCATTACGATACGTTGCAGTCAAGTAATTGATCTGCCTTTTCCATTGTTTGTTTCTATTAGTGTCAGGACCTTTAGAAATAGAAGGTACGAAGAGACTGTCGGTGTTTTTGATCATAAATGATTTAACAGAACTTCACGAGAAAGTCCGAAAAATCCTGATTAGTGATTTATATTGTCTACTCCTCCTTCTATGAAGACAATATATACTTTTCGGTTTATTTTACCACTGAACGTTTTTACCATGTGAATAGTTAAAACACCTGAATTTGTACTGGTTTCATTACCCTGGTCCTTATGCTAGTATGGAATATAATGAAGCCATACAACATTAAGGAATAGATTGTCTTCGAATTAATCACCATTGGCTCGAGCCACTGGTTAAATTTGAAGGTGAGTTCAGACGAATCGCTATTCTCTCGGCCTTCCCACATAAAATATGAATATGGATAAACGGCAATCCTAACGATGGGGTAGACTATTTCCCGGTTGTAACATCAATATCCCAATTCATACCTGAATTAATCTTGCCCCTTCAATTTTGTTAATTTAGCAATGCGGGCGATGTTTGTCGAGGAAGGAATTGGTCCGTGCCTGTTTTCGTCAACCCGGTCTGGTCCCATTTATCAGTTCGCTAATGGTCAATGCGGTAAAGGTAAGTGATACTTTTCCTCCCACGTTTTTGACTGTTCTGCATGATGTTGCTTTTCAGTTATGGGCTGTAACCCACTTTTTTATTACACACTTTCGTGTGATGAACAGCAGACGGGGAAAGCCCCATAATCACCAGGACCTGTTATTCAGTGGTGGAAATCGTTAACCTTATCTCCGAGACTTGGAGTGGTGAACCGCATAAGGCCCGGATGGGTTAGGTGTGTTATTGGACCGGACGACAGCAAAGCTGCCTACCAACAAAGTTGGGTGGCGGTGGCGGGGCTCGAACCTCGGACCATAGGGCCCAAAGCACACCTGTGACAGCGACTAAACCACTGCGCCATCGGGATAATGGAGCTAGGTAACCGCTTGGCCAGTGATCTGAATCAGTTTGGAAGTAAACAGGTCCTTCAAAATCTGGTTAGTAAGTGTCGTCTGCGTATGTACAGACAGACTGGGTGAACGTGGGTATACTCTCGATAGAAAGACTAGGAAGACCATCTGAATGCCAGAAAGCCGATCCAAAATGACTCCGCAACCTTTTAGGTCACACTCGGTTGCGCAAAGATTCCCCAGTCGATGAGGTGGGCTGTATCGTGGGCTTTAGTGCATTCACGAATCAGGCATGGGGCTACGTTAGAAAGGATGGTGAACGTGGATGTACAAATTACACAAAATGGTGGGTAATGTAAGAACCGTCAAACAGCTCCGAGTTCCAAATTGCAATGTACTTCCTCGCCATAAATTGAATACAAGCGAAACCGTGTGTGTGTGTGTTTGTAAACGAGAATACTGAGATTCAACATAACCCGGAATTCACACCAGACCCCCCGAGAAGCAGTTTCTGATGTACATGAATCGATGCATCTCTAACTATACTATACTATACTAACTATACTATTCTGTTGAAACCGATCTGCATACACACTGTTTAACAAGATCCATCTAGAAACTGATCCTGAGCGTGCCCATTCGATCAAATGCATTACACATGTCGTGCAAACACTTGAACTTTTGTTTGTTTAAATTATCGCTTTTTCCCTCCGGCGTTCGGTTCGTGTGTTATCGAAGATTTCTACAATCCCCAGTGTATTTGCACACATGTAGGCGGTGCAATATAATTTGTTTGTATATTAGGCTTATCCGGGTTGAGGATTTTGAAGTTGGTGAGAAAAATTATTGACGTCCTGGACCATGCGATCCAGTAGTCAATTGCTCCGTAAGTACGTACAATAGATCCATGTCGTTTCTAAGTGATTGGATGTTAGTGCTTGATTTAATTTCGGCTTAGCTTCGTTCGGGCTTCTAGTCGAATTACTTTGATGGTAACCGTACAGTGTAGCAGCACATTTCTGTAAAAAAAAACTGGTCTATTCATACATGAACATCTTTATGGAAAAATGCTTTCGGCCGAGTGGCTACCGCTTTTTTCTGCCCCCTCAAAATCAAATATTAGCTGCTGTTAGGTATGGGATCGGGAATAAATGGGTACACAAGATCCGCTTCTTTATCGTGTGATTACCCCGGTTCCATGTCATGCTTCATTGGAATCAAGAAATGCGTTTGCGTATCACTAATTCCCCTCGCCTCTCCTTTTGCAATGTAGATAGATTAGCCTGATAGGGGATTGCGTGATTTAATCACAACTCGCTTCTTACATCAGGTATCTTTATTCTATTTTTCAGTGCTACCAAGGTCTTCCAGACCAATCGAAACTGAACGATTTGACCAATTTCTTTCTATCCACGGTAGTCGCACTGTGCGATACGGGCATGGCGGACGAACGCATCGCTCAAGTCCTGGGCACACTTCAGCATGTATTACGCGTTGGTCTACGCGCCTCCGATTGCGCTCCTTTCCAATCTGCTGCCTGTTTGGCTGTGCTTCGTTTCAGCATGAAATTACAGCTGAATCCAGACCTGGTGCTGGATTGGATTCAATGCTTACTGAAGAAAACCCGTCCCACACAGACTTGGGAGTCGTTGCGAGTTATCACGCAACTCATGCGCACTCAACATATTGCCACATTGCCCGAGAAGTTGGCCACCAGACACGCGGCTCTCTTGTCCACTTTGCCGGAGTCGCAGAGAAAACTGATTGAACAGGAAGAGGAGCGCCTGCTGGACGATGTAGATGTCAATCAGTTGGCTCATGCAGCTGCTCTTACGGCCGAAGTGCAGGCAGCTACTGTGGTGAGTGAAGTAATAATATCAGTAGCAAAATAATCATTATTGTGCAGTTGTGATCGTTGCACGCTTATCGGGTTCGAGAAAACAATCTCAATCGGGAAACCCCTGACCTCATGGAGACCGTAGTTGGGCATGAATTTAGGGTCAAACTGGATTTTCGTTCAAGGATGCCCTCATCCCTCCCGTCACGGTATACCCTCAGCTGATTTTTTATAATAAGAGTAGCATAAGGAACCATTGTCTTGTTAAACTCCGTAAGTGTTAGAATATGTGCACATTTCAGTGTGAGCATAATCATTTAAAAGAAAATGACCAAATCGGTCCATATTTGAAAATTACAACTAACTGAGGTTAATAGTTTGCCAACTGGGTGGTTGTCCATTTCAACCGTTATTCGGCGGTAATATATTCGTTAGAACCGAGGGAAGACTGCGATATGTTAACATTTCTTTTAATCTTTTCGGTCGCAACAACGTAAAACAATCCGATATTTATACAAGCAAACAAACATTTGTAGCTTTTCTATTGCAATTTGGGCGGCAGCTTGTCATGGTACAAAATTATCACCGCTTATCCGAACTGAGGACTTTGTTCTGTATAAAACGCGTGGCAATGTTTGTCCCGATTCGCGGAATTTCTTGGGAATTACAACTGTTCGATCACTTATTCCTTCCCTTTTGTAGACCATGGATGTTTCCGCGCCCCCAGAGGACTCCGCTTTATGCATATCCGCCATAGACCTCACATCCACTAAACGCACCTATTCCGATACTGAATTGCTCAGTGCGTGTGTGAACGAGGTCCAACTGGCTCACGCGATCTTGGCCGCGTTACCTGAAACCAGTCGGTGCTGTCTGTTTCACGAACAGAATCCGACTTGTGTCTGTCCGAAAATGCCCGGTTTCAGTAAAGATCAGAATTCGTGGCTTACCGATTTACTGTTGGCTGGCGTGCTATCCAAACCGGCCACTGCAGGCAAATCCAGCAAACTAGAAGTGAGACGTGCTCGTCGTGTGCTCCATTTTGCTGGACTGGCTGCGAAGGCTCACGTGAAAACCGTACAGTCTTTGTCCACCGCACCACAAACACGTGCGTCCACTTCACCACGTCGTTCGCGTGCGACATTATCGAAAGCCCAGTGCATTCTTGAGGACGGATTAGATCAAGGTATTGTCTAGATGGGATTTTCGTTTTCGTATAACAGTTTTTATGCATTATCATACGTATAATCTTCGATGCAGTTGGACGGTGAGGTTCACCTGATCGCATGTTAAGCCGTTTTCATGGTGTCAACTTTTATCTTTTTTGTTCGTTCAATACCAATGGAATCGCGGATGTTCTGTATGACTACGGTTAAACCGCATCACATATTGATTGGATCTCTCATATCGCGTACAGATCATGTCAAGAGGTAGATTACCGATTATGCTTGGTTTCTGTTTACAGGTCTTCCGTTACTTCTCACTTGCTTAATTCATCGATCGTCCGCTGTTCGTTTGGATGCATTCAATCTGTTGAGCCAATGGATTCTGGGATTA